ACTGCTTCCAGCAGACTGTATACTGCATGCAGACGACTAAATATTGCCGATAAAAGGTTGCATCCGCTAATAGATGACTAGGAACTGTTTGTAACAGACCACATACTACTGGCAGGACAAGAAATTACTTGCAGAAGCTTTTATATAGCTGGCAGAAGACTATGTACTGTTAATAGAAATGTATATCTGCTGATTGATGACAAGGTACTGCTTGTAGCAGACTGTATACTACCGGCAGGCATAGATACTGCTTGCAGCTGACCATATAAAGGCTTAATGAGGCTATGTTCAAAATTTTTTGTTCTGAGTCTACAGAACGGTGTAGTACAGGTCTGGGTTGGTATGATATTAATTGTGGTTGGATTCGCTGCACACATTTTAGATATTAAAAGTTAGTTTTGTTTTGATCTACTTTGTACAGGAGACACAAATTTGGCCATTGTGGAAAATATATTCTCTTATGACCAGAACCTTAACAGGTGCGATGGCTAACTTTTTGCCATGGTTAGATGTTTCTCTTCGCTTGAGATTATTTTCAAAAACAGTTTATAATTTATTTGTATGTGAAGGTGGGAGTGTTTAACGAACCAAAGAGATCTCTAGTTTTTGAAAGGAAAGGTAACCATGAATCCCAGAAGTTGCGATATCTAACGTTGGAAATGTAAGGTTGCTTTAGGAATATAGAGGTCGTCTTGTTGAGATTATGTGCCCATTGGTAGTTTGTTTCTTAATTACAGTACTTACTTTGTTGGAACGGTTGTGTATATCTAAACTACATTATTTAAAACAAAACTTAGTTTTTATTTTTTTTATTAAAAAGAAAACATCACTTTTATGATTTTAATCATTTACCTAATATAAGAAACATAGAATATACTCTTCTTTTTTTAATAACAATAGACTATACATTCTAGAGTTGTACAAATATAAATAACAATACGTATATTAGGTAATAAATCTTGCACAAATTGGTAAAAAAAGATAAAATAAAACGAAAATATAACATCTGGAATGTAGTGAAGTAATTGAATTCCAGATTTGGTCGCCTTCATTTTTTGGTCTGGTGTAAAAAAAATGAATAAATAAAAAAAAAATCTAAGTACTGATGAAAATTGTGGATTTGAATGGTGCTCAAAACATTCATGAATACGATTTAAGATATTCCGGTTTCCACAATTGATTCGAAAAGAAATTGTTCACGATGGCTATATCCGCGTCGTGATCGATCACCGTTGGCATAATGGGCGTTATCGTGACACTATCGGGAACGATCAATCCCAAAGGAACAAACGGATCATCACCGTTCCTTCTCCCATCTTTAAAACATAAATTGTTCGTTTGAAACTGTCTACCAAATCGTCTCAACTCCTCGTCAAACCGACTCTCATTCGACGAACTATCCGAATTCGAATCGCACAACATCAAAACGTTGTTGTTATTGTAGTTTTTGACGGTTTTCGTACCACTTCCGTTACTGTACTTGTTGAGACCCATGCTGCTTATTAATTTTTCGCGTTGCAATCGAACGCGTTTCGTTGTTATCACGAAGGCACTTACGAAAGCTTTTTGACAAACGTCCGTTGTTTTATCGCCGGGTAATAAAGGTACTAGGTATCTGCAAGTTATTCTACGCGGACCTCTTATTCCGGGACCGTTTCTTGTCGGTGAAGATGTTGTTGGATCGAGGNTCTTAATTACAGTACTTACTTTGTTGGAACGGTTGTGTATATCTAAACTACATTATTTAAAACAAAACTTAGTTTTTATTTTTTTTATTAAAAAGAAAACATCACTTTTATGATTTTAATCATTTACCTAATATAAGAAACATAGAATATACTCTTCTTTTTTTAATAACAATAGACTATACATTCTAGAGTTGTACAAATATAAATAACAATACGTATATTAGGTAATAAATCTTGCACAAATTGGTAAAAAAAGATAAAATAAAACGAAAATATAACATCTGGAATGTAGTGAAGTAATTGAATTCCAGATTTGGTCGCCTTCATTTTTTGGTCTGGTGTAAAAAAAAATGAATAAATAAAAAAAAATCTAAGTACTGATGAAAATTGTGGATTTGAATGGTGCTCAAAACATTCATGAATACGATTTAAGATATTCCGGTTTCCACAATTGATTCGAAAAGAAATTGTTCACGATGGCTATATCCGCGTCGTGATCGATCACCGTTGGCATAATGGGCGTTATCGTGACACTATCGGGAACGATCAATCCCAAAGGAACAAACGGATCATCACCGTTCCTTCTCCCATCTTTAAAACATAAATTGTTCGTTTGAAACTGTCTACCAAATCGTCTCAACTCCTCGTCAAACCGACTCTCATTCGACGAACTATCCGAATTCGAATCGCACAACATCAAAACGTTGTTGTTATTGTAGTTTTTGACGGTTTTCGTACCACTTCCGTTACTGTACTTGTTGAGACCCATGCTGCTTATTAATTTTTCGCGTTGCAATCGAACGCGTTTCGTTGTTATCACGAAGGCACTTACGAAAGCTTTTTGACAAACGTCCGTTGTTTTATCGCCGGGTAATAAAGGTACTAGGTATCTGCAAGTTATTCTACGCGGACCTCTTATTCCGGGTCCGTTTCTTGTCGGTGAAGATGTTGTTGGATCGAGGGGCGATGTAGATCCGGTTAATGTATTAATTGAACACCGCGTTTTCACGTCCATGTGTTGACGGAGGAATGTATTTTGTTTATCGGCGTCTCCGAGATTATAAAAATGATTGAACAGTCTTTCTCGTACGTCCCTTGGTATACGTTCATCACATTTTTGAGGACATTGACATAATTCCTCTGAAAATAAAAGAGAAACATTGTTTATCAATAGCGAAATTACACTGAAATGAGTTCATTTATATGGAATGTTGGGACCACTGCTTTATTTGGATAACAAAGGAAATGGAGATGGTGGTATTTGCGGTTGAACAAACGAATCTATTATCATGTTGTCAACCTCAAATTTCCTTTACTTTTATTATAATTCAGTGCAGCTTGTTTCAATTACATTAAGATCATCTTCAGGTACGAACTTTTTATCATCAAATTGTAGTGGTTTTATTACGCCAACAACTTTAATAGAATTCTTAAGAATTAATTTTAAAAAAATATGAAAATTCTTAATTACGATTTAAAAGTAAATTTAAGTTTTCCAATACGCCTAGTTTCGGATCGAAAATTCTTAATCTCGATGAAAAATCCTTTAAAATGAGCCCAAACATGACTAGTTTATCTTGAAAAATAGAAAAATTATGGAAATTATGATTAAATTCAAAATGGCGGAATGTAGGTTAGGTTTTATTTCATTTTGCTGGTTTTTTAAGATAAAGTAGTCGTGTTTGGGCTTATTTTAAAGGATTTTTCATGATTTATAAGGTAGTATTGATAGAAATCGGACTTTTTATCCAAAACAAAACTAACTTTTTGGATAATTTCAATGGCGGATCATAAATTCTTAATCACGATTAAAAATCCTTTAAAATGAGTCCAAACACGACTAGTTTATCTTTAAAAATTAAAAAGTAGCATATTAAAATTCAAAATGGCGGATTGTGGATTCAATTTTTTTTTCGTATTGACAGTTTTTAAGTTATCTTAAAAACTGTCAAAATGAAAAAAAAATGATAATAAAGTAATCGTGTTAGGGCTCATTTTAATGAATTTTTAATTGTTAATGTTAGTGTTAATTATAATAGAAAAAAAGTTTTAATAGTAATTAATTTATTGATAATTTCAAAATGGTGAATCAAAATTCTTAATCACGATTAAAAATCCTTTAAAATAAGTCTAAACACGACTAGTTTATCTTCAAAAATAAATAAACAATCGCGATACGTTTAAATTCAAAATGGCGGAATGTGGATTCCATTTTATTTCATTTTGGCAGTTTTTAAGATAAAATTGCCTTGTTTGGGCTCATTTTACAGAATTTTTAATTTTCTACAAATTGGCATCAATAAAAATTGGATCTTTTCGTTTTTAAGGAAGCCATCTTTTTTACATAATTTTAAAATGGCGAATTAAAATTTACGTTGACGGTTTTTACGATAACTTAATCCTGTTTGGTTGGGCTCATCTTAAAGGATTTTTCATTTTCTATAAGATAATGTTAATACAAATTGCAATTTTTTTTAATCTAAATTAACTTTTTGACATAATATCAAAATGGCGGAGGATTATTTGTGTTTTATGTCACTATGACAGTTTTTATGATAAGATATTCGTGTTTGGACTCATTTAAAGCATCTTTTCGCTTTCTATAAGCTGGTTTTAATAATAATTTCAAAAAAATTAATATACCTAGTTAGTAACTTTTTATGATAATTTCAAAATGGCAGATGAAAATTCTTAATCACGATTAAAATCCCTTTAAAATAAGTCCAAACACGACTAGTTTATCTTCAACAATAAATAAACAATCGAGATACGTTTAAATTCAAAATGGCGGAATATCAATTCCATTTTATTTCATTTTGGCAGTTTTTAAGATAAAATTGCCGTGTTTGGGCTCATTTTAAAGGATTTTTTATTTTCTACAAGTTGGCATCAATAAAAATTGGATTTTTTTCATTTTTAAGGAAGCCATCTTTTTTACATAATTTCAAAATGGCGGAGGATTATTTGTGTTTTATGTCACATTGACAGTTTTTAAGATAAGATATTCTTGTTTGGACTCATTTAAAGCCTCTTTTCTTTTCTATAAGTTGGTTTTAATAATAATAAAAAAAAATTAATATGGGAACTAACTTTTTATAATAATTTCAAAAGGGCAGATGAAGATTCTTAATCACGATTAAAAATCCTTTAAAAT